GCCCTCAGGACTGACGTCTGTCCCCAATCAGGAGGGCTGCTGGGCTTGTCTGGGCCACAGAGAAGAGAGACTGTTTTGTGTTGTGGGGGTTGAATGGTGGCCTCTCTCCAAGAGCACATGCTCGCTGGTGTGGCTGATGCCACTTGCCTCCTGCAGCCTTCCAGAAAACACCAGGACATAGTTGTCCCAGGAGCTCACGCGACAAGTCAGGATTCGGGATCTGTGCAGTTGGAAAGGTAGCAGCCAAGCAGGCCATGCTGTGAGCTAGGTGAGACTCTTCTCAAAGTTTTTGCCTGAAAGGGGCCCTGGGTACCTGCTGCGGCAGAGCGCTCAGCTGGGCCTTCCTCATGGGACCGGGCCCAGGCGCCAGGGAGTTAGCCGTGTGCTCACTCACCTCACCTGTGGCCCAATCTCAGGCCTAGGAACAGTGTCCTTCTTAGTACCAGGCTTGACAGGAATCTGGCACACACCCGGATCTGTGGTCAGCCTGGCCAGTCTCCTTGGACAAAGCCAGTGCCCATGTCAGCCTCTGGCAAGAAGGTACTGGGAGAAGGCGATCAGCTGATCAACTCTGAGTATGTGCAGAGGGTAGCTCTGAGCAGGCCTGCAGTGTTGTGCACTCTGTGTGTGCGTGTGATTTTCATAGACAGTGCTGTTGGGATGGGTCCCCAGACTACACATCATGCAGACCTGGCCTCGTCTCAGCCGACGCCTGTGTGGGGACCTTGGGGCTGGGCTGTGAGGAGGCAGTTTTTGCCCTCTGGAACTCCAGGGCAGGGTCTGCAGCGGGGCAGGGCAGTCTGAGGTAGATTTGGTCATCGTGAGCACATGGCCTGTCCAGGGTTCTCTTAGCTCCCTTCTTGTTCTTACTTCTTTTTTTATTTTGTGCTAGTACTGAGGGCTTGAACTCAGGGCCTAGGTGCCGTCCCTTAGCTTTTTCACTCAAGGCTGGTACTCTGGCACTTGAGAGCCATACTTCCCCTTCTGACTTTTTTGGAGGTTAATTGGAGAGAAGAGTCCCATGGACTTTCCTGCCCAGGCTGGCTTTAAACATGATTCTCCAATCTCAGCCTCTTGAGAAGCTGGGATTACAGGTGTGAGCCCCCAGCACCTGACTCTCAGTGCCCTCTTTGGTTTCAGAATGTTCATTCTTCCTTTTTTCCCATTTCCTGTTTGTTCATTTTTTTCCTCTTAGCTTCAGAGCTACTTTGCTGCATGTGAAGATGAGACCCCAGCCATCCGGAACCACGACAAGGTCCTCCAGCGCCTGTGTGAGCACCTAGACCACGCACTGCTCTATGGGTAAGAGCAGGCTTCCCAGGGCTAGGCATGCCCAGGCGCGCGCAGCAAGCTACACTGCCCTCCAGAGAGGGTTCCCGGGCCTGCCTTGTCAGCCTTGGTCTACCGAGTAGAGCACTAGGCAGACATGGGGATGAGAGAGGGGTGGTGTGCTGGTGTGTGGTTGTAGGACCTGTTAACCATGGCTTCCTGGGTCCCAGCACTGCTGCCCTGCCCTCACAGATTGCAAGACCTCTCCTCCGGCTACTGGGTGCTGGTAGTTCATTTCACCCGCAGAGAAGCCATCAAGCAGATCGAGGTGCTGCAGCATGTGGCCACCAACCTGGGGCGCAGTGAGTAGAACCAGAGACCCGCCACACCCTCCCTGTGGACAGGATAGCTTGGGATGCAGGTCCAGCTGGGGTCAGCTCCAGGAGGCTGACTGCCTGGTACGGTCCAATTGCAGTAAGGCTTCAAAGGCCAGTGCCTTCCACATGGGCCTCTGTTCTCCCTGCAGAGGTCAGTATGTGGATGCGGCCATGATATGCAGGAGAACTGAATGGGGCTCCTTGGGATTCCAGCACAGGAGTCTGGATTCCTCCCTGAGCTAGGAGCCTTAGGCCTGTGGGATTGAGGCAGCATGCCTCTACATCCCTAACCCATCAGGTTGGCTACAGTAGTTCATTTCACGATGGTGTAGTAGTAATCCTAGCTCCACGGGAGGCTGAGACCTGAGGATCATGGTTCAAAGCCAGCCCAGGCAGGAAAGTCTATAAGACTCTTACCTCCAGTTAACCACCAAAAAGCTGGAAGTGGAGTTGTGGTTCAAGTGGTAGCATACCAGCCTAGAGCAAAAAAGCTAAATGACAATGCCTAGGCCCTGAGGTCAAGCCTCAGTATCAGCACACACAAAAAAAATAGTCTTCTACCTGACCTCTCTCATCTGCCGTGGCCTACCACAGGTTAGGTCCTGAAAGCTTTTAGAGCACCTGGTCCCACACTTGCTCACTCCTTTTTTTTTTTTTTTTGTCAGTCGTGGAGCTTGAACTCTGGGCCTGGGCACTGTCCCTCAGCTCTTCAGCTCAAGGCTAGTGCTCTACCACTGGAGCCACAGTGTTACTTTCAGTTTTCTGGTGGTTTATTGGAAATAAGAATCTCACAGACTTTACTGCCTGGGCTGGCTTTGAACCGTGATTCTCAGATCTCAGCTTCCTGAGTAGCTAGAATTACAGGCGTGAGCACCGGTGCCTGGCTAACCAGTTCTATTTTTAATGTTGTAAAAATGTATTCAGCTAGGC